GAACTTGCTGTGTAGAGACCATCCTGGCTTCAAATCCACAGAAATCCATCTACCTCTGCCTTCTGAGCACTGGAATTAAAGATGTGTGGCAGAATGACCAGACAATAAATAATTAAAAGTTAAAAATGTAATAAATAATTTAAATACATAAAGTTAAAAATAGGTAGCTATGGATCTCACTATAGATTGCTTACCTAACACACTCAGGGCCCTGGGACTCAGCACCAGGGAAAACAAACATAACAACAAAAACTAAAAAACAGAATAATTTTTAAAATTTAGAAATTAACATAAAAATGTAAACTTCCCATTTTTTGTTTGTATGTGTTGGTTGGTTGGTTTTTTGAGATGGTCTCTACATAGCCTTGGCTGTCCTTGAACTCCCTTTATAGAGTAGGCTGGCCTCCTAAATGCTGGGATTAAAGGCCCAGTATTTGTTTTTAATTTGTAAACTCTTATTGTTTTAAAAAAACTTACAAATAGCTAAAAACATCACATAATCACTTCCTCTCTTCTCCCAAATCATTATTCATGTTCTTTTATAACCTGTATTCCCTTTTAATAGTTCAAGTTCTGGCAGAGGGCCCATGGCACACTCAAGTATCCTAACAAAAGTACAGATAGGGCTAGGGCAGTGAACAGGGATGGTGGGACAACCCCGGTTCTAATAGTCAGGCAAGCCCATCCCCACTAACGTGGCAGCATGAAGAAGCAGGTAATCAGAGGGCCTATCAGAACCTAGGAATAACCAGAACTCTAGAATCTCAGCTGGTGGAGTGATCACCTGGCAGGAATGGCAACGTCGGAAGAGAATTGTAACCACACACAGCTGTGGCCTGCCAAAATGGGAGCCAGGGGAATCACGATTTCCTCCTGCCTCCTGCCTCTGCTCTCTGTCTCCTCCCATTGCCTCCCGTTGGCCACATCCAACCAGAAACTCATGGACAGGAGCTCATTGATTCTGTGTAAGGAGCCAGCCTTCTGAGGCACTGAGCATCAGGGTGGAGGACAGAACAGAATGACCTGTAGAGTCAAACAGGGCAGATCAGGAATTCCCTGAGGAGGTGGCAGCCTATGGAGCTTATGAAGTGGCTCAGTTTGAAGGCACTGGCTGTCCACCCTGACCACCTGCTCAGTCCCACACAATAAATAACATGTAATTTGAAACAGTGTACAGGGCTGGAGAGGTGACTCTATGGTTAGAACACTCACTGCTCTTGCAGAGGAGCCCTGGGTTCTGTTCCAAGCACCTGCATCAGGCAGCGCACAGCTGCTTTGAATGCAGCTGTAGAAGATCCAGTGCTTTTTTCTGGCTTCATCGGACACCTGCACACCCACAGTGCACACACAGCCAAGCAAGCCCACATGCATAAATAAAAACAAATTCTTTTCAAAAGGAAAAAAAGAATGAAAAGCAACGTATAGCTTCATTTTTAGTATACTCGTTATACATGGAATGGTGTCAGCTACCTGTCTGTTGGCTGTGGTAAAACACCATGACTAAGGCAACTTACTGAAGAAAGAGCTTATTTGGGCTTGTAGTTGCAGAGAGTTAGGGTACATGATACTGAAGCAAAGGCAGGAACAAGAGGCTGAGGGCACACATCTTGAACCACAAGCATGAAACAGAGAGAACACACTTGGAATGGAACCAGGCTTTCAAGACTCAAAACCCTCCCGCAGTGACATACTTCCTCCAGTGAGACCACACCTCCTAAGCTGTCTAACAACTCTATCAATGGGGGTTGGGGGGCCTGTATTCAAACATCTGAACCTTTGGGGGACATTTTCAGTCTTACCACCACAGGGATTCATTTAACTAATCCCCATTACCAACCTCAAGATTAATCTAAAGGTTGGTATGATGTATGACATACTTTCATATGTATGTTATAATTGGACTGGGAAGCCTCTCCGGCTCTATGCACACCCTTCCCCAAGAAACTCCTGTCTTGAAGGCTTGGTCTGCAGAACCTACATCCAGTCACTCAGAAGACTTGGCCTTTGCCCGGGTTTTCTTCTTTTTTATAACCCATTGGGTCTAATTAGTGCTGCCCCAGTTTGCATGGGTGTGGGACCATCCATTATAGTGTGGTTAGATCACGTCAGAGCACACACTTGAAGACAATGGCCTCTTCCCTCCTGCAGCAGCCATCAGCTGTCAGTAGCTTCTCTGCAAGAGGTGGGGGGCCCATTTGTGTTGGAGTGTTGAGTGGCTCGACTTGCTCAAGTCTGACACAGCACACAACAGCTGTGACACCATGAGTACAATGAGTCCTGTCACATTCGAAAGATACTGTTTCACTGTGGCTGTGGTCCTCTTTCCCAGCCTCTGGCTCTTACAGTCTCCCCCCTCCGGCTTCAGAGATTGTCCCTGAACAGCATGGGATGGGGTGTGACATGGATGCCCACCCCCCTCCACTTTGGCTGAACATGCCTCGGACACTTACTCTCTGTACTTTGACCCATTATCAGTTTCTATACTGACTGCCTTCAGCTGCACAAATAAACTCCTCTGATGAGGCTGGAGAGCTTCACTGGTCTATGTGTATAGAAATAGGAGCTTGGAGGGCGAGCATCAGTTTCTACAATCAAATGCTTCAATACGGTACAATCCGGAGATAAAGTAATCTGATATTTACATGGTGAGGATGAGAATAGGAAAATTTTATTTTACATGATTAAACCATCTGTTTCTATAATGGCAGGAAACTATATAAACACTGCAATTCATAACATAGTGGTCTCAAATCTGGGCTAAGCATTAGGTGGAATGACAGCGTGTGCAGGGCAGGGTAGAGAGCACAGAGTGTGACTGTTGAAACAAAGTCTACTGTAAAGTTAGGCAATGCAACATGGGCTAGGGCTCCCAGAAGCACCCCAGAAGTATTGTGCATTTGATAGTGAATTAATTTCAGTCATTGTGTGTTCAGAAACTGTGTACTGGGCTAAAAAGGCAGCTCAGTTGGTGAAGCGCTTGAGGGAACTTTAACTCGAACCCCCAGAGGGAACTGAAGGTATAAAAGCTAGGCTCAGCGGCTCACTTGTAACCCCAGTGCTGAGGGGTGAATACAGGCAGCTCCTCAAGCTTGCTGGCCAGCCAACCTAGTCTAAGTTCTAAGTTAGTGAGAGACCTTGCACCAAAAGATAAGTGGGTGATACCTGAGAAACAGCACCTGAGTTACCTTCTGGCCTCTACTATACACATGAGCCTTCATGTGCACACGCCCAAGTCCCCACACACAATAATATACACACAAAAAAGAAACTCTTTGCTATCGCTAACTTATCCCAAATTGATTTTTCCTGCATGTTTTGTGACTGCAGCAAAGAGCTACAAATTAATCCATGTGTATTGATTGTACTAAGACTTTGTCTCCAGGCAGTGGGCATAGCTCTGCAGGTAAGGACAGCTGCCCAACTGAGCCTGAGGACCTGAGTTTGACTCCCTGGACCCACTTGGTAAAAGCAGAAAACTGACCCCTGCCCTCCACCTGTACATGATGGCATATGCATACCCTCTGTCTTAGTTAGTGCTCTGTTGCTATGAAGAGATACCCTGACCATGAAACTCTTATAAAAAAGAAAGCATTTAATTGGGGCTGGCTTACAGTTTCAGAGATTAGTCCAGTATCATCATGGCAGGAGCATGGCAGAGTGCAGGCAGACATGGTGTTGGAGAGGAGCTGAGAGTTCTGCATCTTGATCCATAGACAGAGGCAGAGAGAGAGATAACTGTGCCTGGCCTGTGCTTTTGAAACCTCAAGTCCCACTCTCAGTGACACACCTCTAACAAGGCCACACCTCCTAATTCTTCTTAAATATAAACTGAATAAAACTTCATTTCAGGGGAACTGGGGAATGTAGTTGTCTTAGGATTTCTATTACTGTGAAGAGACACCATGACCACAACAACTCTTATAAAGGAAAACATTTCTTTGGAGCTGGCTTACAGTTGAGAGATTCAGTCCATTATCATCATGGTAGGAAGCATGGTGGCCTGCAGGCAGATACGGCACTGGACACAGAGCTGGGAGTTCTGCAAGACGGAGACTGAGACTCCGTCTTGGCTTGAACCTCTACAACATCAAAGCCTACGCACAGTGACACACTTCCTCCAAAAAAGCCGCACCTCTTCCAGAAATGCCACACCTACTCCAAGAAGGCCACACCTCCCAATAGTGCCAGTCCCTTTGTACCTGTGAGGCTATTTTCATTGAAGCTACCACAGTGGTGCAGTGGCGGGGCACTTGCCTAGCACGTACAAGCACCTGAGTCCCATCTCAAGCCCTGCAAACATTTAAAAATGCAGTTCAGGACATGTGATGACAATAATTCCGTGACACCTGCTGTAATGAGTGATTGCCTCTGATTCGGGTCTGCTGGTTCCCGCCCATTATGTCGCTAAGGCATCATGGTCATCTGTAAGGGGTGCCATTACTATTCCTATTCTGTGATCAAGGGCACTGTGGTTGATGAGGTAAGTCCCACATGGTGGCCTCAGGCACTATGCTGGGAGGCTTTTGAAAATGCTAAACCCTCATTGAAGAGTGTTGTGTGATTGTGTGTGCTGGGGTGAAGACTGGCTTCTGGAGCAGATTCCAACTCCTTGATTCACTGGAACTTTCTGTAACTTGGAGAGTATGAGTAACATCCATTCTAGGGGATTAATTACATGCCTCAGATAGCACCTTACCCTACTAAGCGCATAGTTAATATTAGCCACTGCCAGGGTGACCCCAGTGCCTGTGGGGACCTCTGTGAATGTGATTAAAATAAGCAGCAAAGCTTGGTTCTCGTGAAGAAATGGAAGGAGTCTGAGCTTGTGAAGCTCTTCACCAGCCAGGAAAGTCCCAGAATGGAGACAAGGGTTGTCAAAACCATGAGGAGCTGTTATGTTTCTAATGAAGGAAAGAATGGGGGGGGGTGACAAGAAAGCAAGAAAGTAACCATGGGTAGGTTTGCTTGCATTGTGATGTGGCGTCCTCTCCTTTCTGTAGAACTCCATGAAGGTGATGTTCAAATGCCTTTGGAAAAACTGTGGCAAGGTGCTGAACACGGCAGCAGGCATCCAGAAGCACATCCGGGCCATCCACCTTGGGTAAGGTAGCCAGGGGTAGCCTCCCCTTGGAGCCAGAGGTAGCCTCCCAGCGTGGCCCCAGGACCTAGGCTGTCAGACATTGCACACTGCACTGTGCCTCAGACTCTTCCTGATCCCTGGTAAAGGTGGACTCTACTATAGGCAGCCACCAAGTGACCCGGCTGCAGAGCCTCCCTAAACTACTTTCTGAGTCATGGTAGGTAAGTCCTCACTCTGATCCCTAGGTCCTCCTAAAAATGATTAGTCAAGTCAGTATTACCTCTGAGGGTCGAAGATAAACTGTGCAAAAGACACAAAGTGTAAAACACACCACAAGGGTACCTGTCCTGGGAGCTGGGAGCATACATCAGGGGGCCCTTGAGCCCCTGATGTCTGTAAAATGAGGTATGCACTCTTTTTGCAGTGGCTGATATTCATGACTTAGAACCTTGCAAGCTACTGTCACTCTAGGAGAGTCCCTACCCCCAAAGACAGACGGGGGAAAAAAAAAGTCATCACATCTTCACACCTTGGATGACGAAGCCAGATGGGATGGACAGGCTCAGTCTGTTGCTCAAATAATCCGTTTTCTTCAGAGGCTGTAAGAACCTTCCTACAGACAGACAAAGTGGAGGTTAGGAGCGGGCAGCCAGGCTCACAACCATGGCATGGTGAGTTAACTGTTCATGCTTTGGTCCTGAGTCTGTCTTGTCCCCAGGTATCTGAGGTTTAGAAGGGAGGCTGTCACCAGTGTGCAAAGGTAAATGTCAACACCTCCGTAGGTCTGTGTGCTCAACACAGAAGGGTTCCTTTAACAAAATAAATGTGGAGGAATAAGAGTCACCTTAGCCAGAAGGGCTCACACTCAGGAAGTGTGTACTCTGAAGATGGTATAGGCAGATCATAACAAAGGGCTCTATGGTGACTGCAGTCAGTGCCCAATTAGTGGCTCTGAAGAGGAGCACAGAAGTGGCTCCCTAAGTCTTCAGGCAGATGTCTGGAATATACCAAATCTTTGTAAAGCAGGGTTGCCCATAAGGTCACCAAGCAACAAGTGAGGCCGGGCTGTGCTACCCTGGGTGCAGGCACTGCCTGCATGTTCAGGAGATATCACAGTACTGCAGCACCCCCTGTCCCCCCTCCCCTGGAGTGAGAAGTCCTATACAGCCTGCCCTCAGATCTCACTGGTTAGACTGACATGAACAGCTCAGAGCAATCTAAAGGCTTCAAAAGAACTTGTCAACAAGCCCTGCTGAGCAGGCACCTATGTTCTGTGTATGAATACTTACAGACTGTGAAAGCATCCAGGATGCTGCATTCACAGTACATGGGCAACACTCAAGGGTCATCCACTGTTGGCTTCCTTAAGATCCCTTTTAACCAGCCTGCTCTTACAGTCACCTTGGTGAATTGCAGTTCACCATCCTGCCAGCCATTGCATGGGAAAGGACCTCCTGAAAGTCTACGGGACCTCAAGCAAGCCCTGAACCTGTGCTTTCTCGGGGACTGGGAGGAACTGGGGGCTTCACCTTATTCCATGAGCCCAGTTGTGCCACTGTTGGACACTGGGCGTGTTAGTAAGCAGTGGCTGGGGAGGCATGTCAACCACACCCAAAACAACATGTCCTGTATCGGATGAAATTTCAGACATACCACATAGTCTTAAAAAGTGCACAGTTTTTCTCCATGTCACTCAACTTCTCAGTCCCCGGTCTTCAGGGGCTGACCCTCATCTGTCCCCCTGGAGAATTCATGATTTCCCTCAGGTCTGGGTGCTATTAGTAGCAGTTGGCAACCAGCAGCAGCTCCGCCTGCCTGTGACTGGAAAGGAAGCAGGGACAGGAATAGAACAGGCACTCATTCCTTGTTCCACTCCCTGGGGTCCTCAGTGGCATGCCTGTCAGAAAGCCAAGCCCCACGTGACTTGCTATGGTGCAGAGACAGCTCTGCAGATGCCAGCACTGTGAAGTTTAGAGGAAATGGAGCGAGGCTGTGAGACACTCATCTGGCCAAGCCGGAAGGCTGAGGGAGAACACTTTATTGTGGGTCTATACAGGGATTCTTAAAGGGGAAACAAGTTTTCAGTCAGCAACATTTAGCTAGTGCCACATGTGTCATCAACTGAGGGATGCCCGTGGCTCTCAGCCATTCCAGAGAGTCAGGTTCTGGGTACATAGTTCTTGGGAAATTAGCAAGACTGGTAAATGTTGAGTCATGGCAGTTACTTAGCTCAGAACTTTCTGTGAGAAAGCACAATTTCCTCCCACTTAAAGAAGTTTAAAGGCCCTGGGATAATAGTCTCCTAGTGGGATTGGCGAGGGATGCTCTGGAGCTTAGTTCCTGTGCTCAAGTATGTTAACTTCCTGTGTCAGGTACAGCAACGAGCTCTCCACAGTTACTCCATCATAAAGAAGTATCCATGCATATTCATATGCTTATTGTACCATCCGATAAAGAAGGATTCTTGTGATCCCATGTTATAACTTAAGACACTAAGGCAAGGTACAGGACCATGTTGGGCTGCCAGAATCACATTCAGTGTGTCAGCCTGAAAAATCCAATTCCAAAAAGTGTGATGTCACCACCCACACCACAGCAGCCTCTGTACCACTCATCTGTGCTGCATTTGGTAGGCACCTACTGAGTGCCAAGTCTGCTGATTCTATGTGGAGAGGTACAGAGACCAACAAAAGGCAGCCCTGGAGAGCCAGAGTCATAGTGAGAAGAAGGAGAGGTTTTTCAGAGCCCAAAACAGGGCTGGAGAGATGGCTCAGTGAAAAGTTTTCTGAATAAGCACTGATACCCAGGAAATGGAGGTGCCCTCTTGGGTTCTAAGTTTCATTATTAAAATAATTTAAAAAACAAACTGAACTGGAAGCTTGAGGACTATTTCATTAGAATTTAAAATGACCCAGGACAGGCAAGTTGTAAATCTCAGCAGCTGCCTAGAGAAAGTGAATGGAGAAGAGGAGGATTAAAAAACAAACAGAAACCATGTCATTTAAGTCAGTGTGGATGACAGCCTCCTGGGAGCAGGCAGCCTCATAGTAAAGAGGAAGACTCCAGAGGAAGAGTGAGGGAGCCCAGTGTACAGAAAAGGCATACGTAGTTTCTGCATCTAATGAAAGAGGAAAAAAATAAAGGGGGAAAGTCAGGATTCAGAAAGGTAGGTAGACCCAGTAGACCTTCATTGTGGCTTGTATGGACTGAACTCATGTGCAGGAATTCTGGAAGGAAAAGTGCAGTATTCCACTATAAGTCTGGATGTGGTGGAGCAAGCTTTCAGGAGGCAGAGGCAGGCAGATCTCTGTGAGTTTGAGTCCAACCCACTCTACATAGTGAATTCTAGGACAACTGGACTATATAAAGAGACCCTGTATCCAGGAGGGAGGGAGGGAGGGAGAGACGGAGGGACGGAGGGAGGGACGGAGGACGGAGGAAGGAAGGAAGGTCTTCAAAGGAATAATTGTTCCATTCACCTCCTTTACAAGGTTCAAGGCAAGCCTTGCAGCCTTATGTTTATTGTATTTATCCTGCAACACTCAGCTATTTGGAAGTCCTCTTTGACTTCTGCTATGATTTAAACATGCCACCACCAATACTGTTTGAGGGTAATGTGATTTTCAAACTCTTATGCTAATGGTATTTGGAAAGGGGGTCTTTGGGAAGCAATCAGAATTAGAAGGCAAGAGGATGTGGGGGCATGGTGGCACTAGTGGTTCTGAAAGAGAAAAGCAAGTTAGCGGATTTGGTTTGTCTGACCGTATCAGGTTCAGACATAGTGAGGGAACCCTCACCAGATGTTGAACAGATGTCTACACTGTGGTCATAGATTCAGCATCCAGACAATGAGCCAAATAAACTTTCATTCCTTTCACTTACTTGGCATCAGGTATTACACCACAAAAAAATAGAGTAAGACTTCTTAGAGCAATCTTTCTACCATCTACCTACCTACCTACCTACCTGTCAACCTACCCATCCATTCATCCATCTACCTACCTACTTATCCATCTACCCATCCATCCACCTACCTACCTATCCATCCATTTGCTAGTCTGAGAATCATTATTGATACTATATTACACATAAAACATTCTACCTCCTAATAGGAACAAAATATAGACTCTTCCTTGATGGAAATTTTTGTTTTGGGAGGGGGTTATTTTATTTATTTGGTTGGTTGGTTTGGTTTGGTTTTTGGTTTTTTGTTTGTTTTGTTCTGTTTTGTTAGACAGGGTCTCTGTGTAGCCCTGGCTGTCCTGGAACTCACTCTGTAGATTAGGCTGGCCTCCAACTCAGAGATCTGCCTGCCTCTGCCTCTGCCTCTGACTCCCCAGTGAGTGCTACAATTAAAGGAGTGGGCCACTACCACCAGGCTTGATGGAACTTTTATAGTTAAGAGGCAGACAAGAAATCCCTAACAAACAGCTATTTAGTATATGAGGTTTTGCTAAGTCCCAGTAAGAAAGATTAAGCAATATTTGGGAGTCCTTAATTGAGGTCAGTGAGGGGGTGGTACTGATCTTTACACAGGATGCTCAGAAGAAGTGACAGTCAAGCAGACACCTGCATGCTGGGGCTTTGGAGGAAAGCACAGAGCCTACAGGGGGTGGGCATGGTTAAGTCATAGCAGAAGCCAAGGAGGACCTCCAAATAGCTGAGTGTTGCAGGATAAATATGATAAACATAAGGCTGCAAGGCCAACAGAAATGTGAGTATTCCAGGTTGAGGGGAAATATCCCATCAAGATGGAGGCAAATGGACAGATTGTTTAGCTTTGCTCTCTCCCTCCCTAGGCGAGTTGGGGAGTCTGACTACAGTGATGGAGAAGAGGACTTCTACTACACAGAGATCAAGCTCAACACAGACTCAGTGGCTGAGGGCCTGAGCAGCATGGCCCCACTTTCGCCCTCCCAGTCCCTGGCTTCACCACCTACGTTTCCTGTCCCAGACTCCAGCCGAACAGAAACTCCTTGTGCCAAAACAGACACCAAGCTGATGACACCGCTGAGCCGCTCAGCACCTACCACCCTCTACCTCGTGCACACTGACCATGCTTACCAGGTAACTCAATAGAGTCCTTGTTCAAAAGCAGTAGCCCTCAGGCCTGGGACTGCAAGATAACTCAATAAAACAGCACCATGCATGGCAGCCAGTAACTCAGTTGTTTTTTTGTTTTTGTTTTTATGTTTTGTTTTTTTTCTATTTTTCCTCTTAGTCATGATCTCAAGCCATAAGTGATGGCTTGTGCCTATAATCCCAGCACCCAAGAGGCTGAGGCAGGCCTATAGAGTTTAAGGGCAGCCTAACCTACACAGTAAAGACCCAATCTCTAAAGCCAAACAACAAAAGGGTCTGGTGGCCCAGGGCTGTACTCTTGGTTACTCAGGAGGCTTAGCAGGAGGATCACAAGTTTGAAGCTTGCTGGGGCAACAGAACACATCGATGACCATCCTGGGCAATTTGGTGATTCCCTGCCATAAAAGGCAAAGCAAAGGGGTTGGAATGTAGCTTTGTGTCACTACACAAAGTACTTGCCTTATTTGTTTAGTCTTGAGCACCACTGGGGGGGAAAGTCATGATCTCATTCAAATGGACCCTACATATTATTCTTGGGCTCCCAGAGCCAGCTGAAGATCCATTCCCTTAGGGGTTGTTAAAAGGATAAGAATCGGAGCTTAGAAAGATGGCTCAGTGCTTAAGAGCATTGCCTGTTCTTTCAAAGGTCCTGAGTTCAAGTCCCAGCAACCACATGTTGTCTCACAACCATCTGTAATGAGATATGGTGCCCTCTTCTGGCCTGCAGGCATATATGCAGGCAGAACACTGTATACATAAAAAAATAAATCTTTTTTTTTTTTTTTTTTTTTTTTTTTTTTGGAAAAAAAATTCTTTATTTAGGAATAAAAATCCTTAGCAGTGTAAAGCCCTCAGATTAGTGACTGGCATAGCTTACAAGTGTCCAATACATGAAAATTAAGCCAAGAATGGCATCACATACCTTTAGTCCCAGTATCTGGGAGGCAGAAGCAAGGATCTCTGTGAGTTCAATGCCAGCCTGATATTAAGTTCCAGGTCAGCTAGAGCTACTTACCAAGATCCTGTTTCAAATAGGTGAAGTCAAGGGGCCAGCATGGAGCAACAAAAGAAATCCTGTACTTTGTAGCTGGGGCCTCAGAATCTCCTGCTTCTTACTAGGTAACTAACCCTCTCAGAGTACAGGTGGCTGTCAGTGTTCCCCAACTCAACAGTGTCAGCACCCCCAGAAGGTGTTTCAAATGGAAATTCTTTGAGCACTACCCACATCAACCTACTGAGTCATAGCTGGGACCCCAGAAGCCTAAGGGCTTAGAAATAAGTCCTCCAAATGTAGGCTGAGGCTACACCAAGAATTGCAGCTACCTCAGGCAATTTTATAAAAATCTTCCTTGCATTTCTGAAGTTACATTCCCCTACCTATTTTATAAAAAAATCCAAATAACTGTATATTATCAAATTAAATTAAATTGAAATAATCACTTTAATCATTCTGATAGTTTACGTGACTGTCTACTGTGATTTTCCACTCATAACCACTTGGAGCTGGTAGGTGTGGTATCTCAGGCCTTTAATCCCAACACTCCAGAGGTGGAGACAGCCTCGACAATGTAACAAGTTTGAGGCTAGTCTAGGTCACATGAGACCCTGTCTTTAAAAAAAAATTAAAAAGCAAGAAAGGGGGACTACTATGAACATTCTCTGTCTATAGCTTTTTTACCTTTCATTTTACCTCAGAAGTGTTATTATTGAGTCACCTGGAACATGAATGAAGAGTTTATTGCCAAAGTATGTCCCAGT